TTTTTTTTTTTTTTTTTTGAGTCCACTTCCCTGTAATTGTTCTAGCATGCAGTTTTTTCCATCTAATAAGTTAACATTTCCTCCTGTTTTCTTCTGAGGTATGAAAGAACCCCTGACATTTAATCTGTGAAGTAGAGTACATCCTTCTGTGGCACAACCAGGCTCTGCCCTCTCACAAATTCTTGATTCGAGGTCCTTCTTCCACATCCTTTTATTAAGCAAACACCCTTTCATTATCTGCTGTTCAACAACTACCTCTCTGCATATTCACTTCCCACAACACACATCATCTAATAGTTTGCTGCATTTACTACACTAGCAGTTTTGGATTCCTGATAATAAATAAAAACAGCATTTGCTTCTGGAATATAGTATATTGCATGTCCAGAGGCCTTTTCACATTACAGTGTTAATTGACTGCCTCCGCATTGAAGACTTCTGGTTATCTGTTTGATAATGTCATGAAGACATTTTATCCTATGAGTAAAATGTTCCTATTGACACATAATGACTTGTGCACCTTATATATTGTACATATAGAAAGCATTTGAGAAGATGCAGGGAAAAGCAACAAAATGATATAGAGTTTGGAATGATTAATCATCCACATACAATGAAGTGGCAGCCTTGTTCTTGAGACCTCAAAAGCTAGTCTGGACAAAGCACTGGAGGGGTCAGTTCTTTACTGGCCACTGGAAGATGGATGGATACATTGACCCAGGAATTTTTTTCTTTCTCTAACTTCTCTAGCCCTGCTAAGCTCTCTAGTTCAGTTTCCTAAATTTTCAGTGCTGAATTTTCAGCATAGAAATTCATTGAGCTTATTCTAATGATGTAGTTAACTGCTCCAAGAGTGACAGGATAGTATACTATGCTGATGGCTTTTTAACTAGCCATGTCCCATCTTAAGTGTGTAGAAGTAACACTTGTGGCATGTGGTGCTTGCAGTTTCTTGGCTGAAGAAACTGGAGCATTTAGGCAGGTGATTACCTAATTTTGCCTTTGAATTGTCATTTAGTTGGTCTGAGTGTCTCTGTAATTTATTGCATACACAAAGAATGAGCAGTGAAGTTTCCCAGGCTTGGTCTGTGTGCAAGCCTTACTTTTCTGAAAAGTGTTAAGAAAAAATATTTTAACCATTGATTTTATTTAAGAGAAAGTGGAAGAAAAGCCTTTTCTAAAGACAAAAAAAGAAGAGCCACATATTTAGGTATAGCTACAAAAATGGCTGACATTTGAAATTGACTTTGAGAATCCTCAGTGAAGCCTTTGGTTGGTTGGAAATGTTGTTCTTTTATGGCATTACAACACTGTCTTGTTGTAAACCATTGTTTACTATTAAACTATATCATATAATATACAGCCACATGGAGGATGGAACTGGAGGTGCTTGAATATGGTGTACTTGATCTCACAACCTCAGTGATGCATTCTCCTTTTTTACTTATTTTTACATTTAGTTGCATTTCAGCATTTTCGTGCCATTGAGAGTGAATGTTAAAAGCCCAGGAGGACCCATGGTTTTTACAGGCTTGCCACTTTTGTCTTTTAATCTGTTGCATCTGGTGCCTTCAAAGTAGCTACCCATAAACCTGCAGTTTTTTTACTGAGAATTAGTTGTTAGAGGTAGAACCCCCAAAGCCTTCCCAACTCCTTCACTTCCTTCAGATTTCTTTGTC